CTCCAATCTCATCATCACCGTTATCATCATCGATGATAACCATCATCGTGCGTCCTCATCGATGATAACCATCACCACCAGTCATGATGATAATGATGACTACGCGTGCATCCTTTGCATCACCAACAGTCATGATGATAATGATGACTACGCACCCTCTGCATCTCCAATCTCATCATCACCGTTATCATCACCGATGATAACCATCATCGTGCATCCTCTGCATCACCAACAGTCATCATGATAATGATGACTACGCACCCTCTGCATCTCCAATCGGGTCTAACGGGACTATTGAATCGTATATGAAAAACATAAAGATAAGGATCCTCATCATAGCCGTCGCTCATCATCGTCATCATCACGGTCATCATCATCGATGATAACCATCATCGTGCATCCTCTGCATCACCAACAGTCATGATGATAATGATGACTACGCGTGCATCCTCTGCATCACCAACAGTCATGATGATAATGATGACTACGCACCCTCTGCATCTCCAATCTCATCATCACCGTTATCATCATCGATGATAACCATCATCGTGCATCCTCTGCATCACCAACAGTCATCATGACAATGATGACTACGCACCCTCTGCATCTCCAATCGGGTCTAACGGGACTTTTGAATCGTATATGAAAAAACATAAAGATAAGGATCCTCATCATAGCCGTCGCTCATCATCGTCATCATCACGGTCATCATCATCGATGATAACCATCATCGTGCATCCTCTGCATCACCAACAGTCATGATGATAATGATGACTACGCGTGCATCCTCTGCATCACCAACAGTCATGATGATAATGATGACTACGCACCCTCTGCATCTCCAATCTCATCATCACCGTTATCATCATCGATGGTAACCATCATCGTGCATCCTCATCGATGATAACCATCATCGTGCATCCTCTGCATCACCAACAGTCATCATGATAATGATGACTACGCACCCTCTGCATGTCCAATCGGGTCTAACGGGACTTTTGAATCGTATATGAAAAAGATAAAGATAAGGATCCTCATCATAGCCGTCGCTCATCATCATCATCGTGCATCCTCTGCATCACCAACAGTCATGATGATAATGATGACTACGCGTGCATCCTCTGCATCACCAACAGTCATGATGATAATCATGACTACGCACCCTCTGCATCTCCAATCTCATCATCACCGTTATCATCACCGATGATAACCATCATCGTGCATCCTCTGCATCACCAACAGTCATCATGATAATGATGACTACGCACCCTCTGCATCTCCAATCGGGTCTAACGGGACTTTTGAATCGTATATAAAAAACATAAAGATAAGGATCCTCATCATAGCCGTCGCTCATCATCGTCATCATCACGGTCATCATCATCGATGATAACCATCATCGTGCATCCTCTGCATCACCAACAGTCATGATGATAATGATACCTACGCGTGCATCCTCTGCATCACCAACAGTCATGATGATAATGATGACTACGCACCCTCTGCATCTCCAATCTCATCATCACCGTTATCATCATCGATGATAACCATCATCGTGCGTCCTCATCGATGATAACCATCATCGTGCATCCTCTGCATCACAAACAGTCATGATGATAATGATGACTACGCGCCCTCTGCCTCTCCAATCGGGTCTAACGGGATTTTTGAATCGTATATGAAAAAGATAAGGATCCTCATCATAGCCGTGGCCCATCATCGTCATCATCACGGTCATCAAAAAGATAAGGATCCTCATCATAGCCGTGGCCCATCATCGTCATCATCACGGTCATCATCATCGATGATAACCATCATCGTGCATCCTCTGCATCACCAACAGTCATGATGATAATGATGACTACGCGTGCATCCTCTGCATCACCAACAGTCATGATGATAATGATGACTACGCACCCTCTGCATCTCCAATCTCATCATCACCGTTATCATCACCGATGATAACCATCATCGTGCATCCTCTGCATCACCAACAGTCATCATGATAATGATGACTACGCACCCTCTGCATCTCCAATCGGGTCTAACGGGACTTTTGAATCGTATATGAAAAACATAAAGATAAGGATCCTCATCATAGCCGTCGCTCATCATCGTCATCATCACGGTCATCATCATCGATGATAACCATCATCGTGCATCCTCTGCATCACCAACAGTCATGATGATAATGGTGACCACGCGTGCGTCCTCTGCATCACCAACAGTCATGATGATCATGATGACTACGCACCCTCTGCGTCTCCAATTTCATCATCACCGCTATCATCATCGATGATAACCATCATCGTGCGTCCTCATCGATGATAACCATCATCGTGCATCCTCTGCGTCACCAACAGTCATGATGATAATGATGACTACGCGCCCTCTGCCTCTCCAATCGGGTCTAACGGGATTGTTGAATCGTATATGAAAAAGATAAGGATCCTCATCATAGCCGTAGCCCATCATCGTCATCATCACGGTCATCAAAAAGATAAGGATCCTCATCATAGCCGTGGCCCATCATCGTCATCATCACGGTCATCATCATTGATGATAACCATGATCGTGCATCCTCTACATCACCAACAGTCATGATGATAATGATGACTACGCGTGCCGCGTGCGTCCTCTGCATCACCAACAGTAATGATAATAATGATGACTACGCACCCTCTGCATCTCCAATCTCATCATCACCGTTATCATCATCGATGATAACCATCATCGTGCATCCTCTGCATCACCAACAGTCATCATGATAATGATGACTACGCACCCTCTGCATCTCCAATCGGGTCTAACGGGACTTTTGAATCGTATATGAAAAAATAAAGATAAGGATCCTCATCATAGCCGTCGCTCATCATCGTCATCATCACGGTCATCATCATCGATGATAACCATCATCGTGCATCCTCTGCATCACCAACAGTCATGATGATAATGATGACTACGCGTGCATCCTCTGCATCACCAACAGTCATGATGATAATGATGACTACGCACCCTCTGCATCTCCAATCTCATCATCACCGTTATCATCATCGATGGTAACCATCATCGTGCATCCTCATCGATGATAACCATCATCGTGCGTCCTCATCGATGATAACCATCACCACCAGTCATGATGATAATGATGACTACGCGCCCTCTGCCTCTCCAATCGGGTCTAACGGGACTTTTGAATCGTATATGAAAAAGATAAGGATCCTCATCCTAGCCGTGGCCCATCATCGTCATCATCACGGTCATCAAAAAGATAAGGATCCTCCCATCATCATCATCATCACGCTCATCATCATCGATGATAACCATCATCGTGCATCCTCTGCATCACCAACAGTCATGATGATACTGATGACTACGCGTGCATCCTCTGCATCACCAACAGTAATGATGATAATGATGACTACGCACCCTCTGCATCTCCAATCTCATCATCACCGTTATCATTATCGATGATAACCATCATCGTTATCATCATCGATGATAACCATCATCGTGCATCCTCTGCATCACCAACAGTCATGATGATAATGATGACTACGCACCCTCTGCATCTCCAATCGGGTCTAACGGGACTTTTGAATCGTATATGAAAAAGATAAGGATCGTCATCACAGCCGTCGCCCATCAGCGTCGTCATCACCGTTATCATCATCGATGATAACCATCATCGTGCATCCTCTGCATCGCCAACAGTCATGATGATAATGATGACTACGCATCCTCTGCATCTCCAATCAGGTCACAACGATTATAATGTGATGATGATGACCATGTCATCATCACCATGATGGTGGTCATTATCGTCATCATCATCATCATCATCATCATCGTCATCATCATCGTCGTCATCATCGTCATCATCATCGTCATTACTACGCATCCTCTGCATCTCCAACCGGGTCTAACAGCACGCTTGAAACGTATATGACACAGATCTGATCAGATAGGAGAAAGACAAGGATGACAACGATAATAGTAGCTCGGAAAATAACTTTCATCGTAGCATCCTCTGCATCACCAATGCTTTCTAACCCCACACTTGAAAGGTGTAGAAAGACACATCTTTGAGGTGCAAAGGATGCTACGATGACGGTATTGCTTACGCTGATAATGTTGAATGCTCGGATATGCTCATTTACCAACCCACCTTGAACTTGTGCTATCTCCAATCGGGTCTAACGGGACTTTTGAATCGTATATGAAAAAGATAAGGATCGTCATCACAGCCGTCGCCCATCAGCGTCGTCATCACCGTTATCATCATCGATGATAACCATCATCGTGCATCCTCTGCATCGCCAACAGTCATGATGATAATGATGACTACGCATCCTCTGCATCTCCAATCAGGTCACAACGATTATAATGTGATGATGATGACCATGTCATCATCACCATGATGGTGGTCATTATCGTCATCATCATCATCATCGTCATCATCATCGTCGTCATCATCGTCATCATCATCGTCATCACTACGCATCCTCTGCATCTCCAACCGGGTCTAACAGCACGCTTGAAACGTATATGACACAGATCTGATCAGATAGGAGAAAGATAAGGATGACAACAATAATAGTAGCTCGGAAAATAACTATCATCTCAGCATCCTCTGCATCACCAATGCTTTCTAACCCCACACTTGAAAGGTGTAGAAAGACACATCTTTGAGGTGCAAAGGATGCTACGATGACGGTATTGCTTACGCTGATAATGTTGAATCTTCGGATATGCTCATTTACCAACCCACCTTGGACTTGTGCTGTAACCACCCTTCCCGTGCGCCTCCCCCTTTGAGGAGAAGGGGTCGGCGGATTTTGGAGAAAAGATCCAGGGGGGAAATCGGGTAGGAATGCGGCAGGGTTTGCTCCTTCGTGATACCAGGGAACCGCTCGCCCGGCTTTTCTTCACAGCGGCCCAGTGAAAGCCGCGCCCTTCGTGGCCTTGCCGTCGTTCTCGTTGCCACGGCCTTCCGAGAGGAGCTGCCGTTGGAAGCGCGGGGCTACGCTGTGCTGATGGTCGAGTACCTCAAGGAGTCGGGGCTTCTGGAGTCGGAGCCCTCCAGTGGACAACAGATGGTCATGAACAGAGAATCACCTCAAAAGTGGTTGGTAGATATGAATCCCAACCGAATTTTGATGTCCGCCAAAGGGCCCCATTGAAATTCATAGCCAGATCAAGTTTGAGGTTCCGCGGTGGCTTCTGGCTCAGGGCTCTTTTTTGGTGGGTTCAACGGCCGCACGACAGCTTTCACACTTTTGAGCACCGTGACATTCAAAGACGCCAAAGGTTTGTGCTGGAACTCTAGAGTGGAACTAGATTCCTTGCAGCGTTGAACTGCCCCTTGTACTTGTTTGTTTTTGGGAATGTGTGCCTCCATCAGTTGCAGGAGTCGAGTCATTTGAATGTACCATGAGCCGGTGCCTCCCAAGGCTGAAGGGAGCCCGCGAACCTGCTCCAACCTTCGCTGTTGGGGTTCAACCGCAGGTCACAGTCTCACAGTTTTACAGCCCAGCACTGTGGAACAGGATCAAAGCATTGAACCTTGATTCAGAACGGATCCAACATGCCGCTTTGGACCCAACATGCCGTTATTGTTTTTGTTTGGGGGGGGGGTTGAACTATGCTGCACAAATACAGAACTGGTCCTAAAATACTGTTTTGGAAGGGAACAGGTGTTTTAAGCCCCTTACACGTGGACCCCGGCTGTTGTTCTGGGAGGTTGAAGGGAAGAACAGAGCGCCCTGGCGGCTCAGGAAGTTGGAGTGCTCCCAGAGGCGGTTCGCCTCGGGCAGGTCACCTGGCGATCGTTTCCCCCGGATTCCGTTTTTCGAGTCGGTTCCATCAGGAGAGCTGCGGTGCCAAGCGGGGCTGTGGAAGCCGCACCTCCCTGTGGGGCTTGCAGCTCCTCGGCCCTTTGCTAGTTCTATCTTGTTCTATCCGATCCGGCACTTTTTTGTTTTGTTTTTTGGGGGGGTTCCAAAGTTGCAGAGAGGGCAGAGAAGTGGGGTGCTGTTGGGCATACCTAATGGCCTTTCCGGGCATCGTGGGAACTCAGGGTCAAGCGACGGAAAGGTGGTTGGCTCCTTTAAGTGGGGATGCTCTTCATTTTTGATTTAATTGTTTGGAAATGGGGTTGTCCCCATCGGCGAGCGTTTTTTGAATTTGAAAGGCAAAGCAAGCGGACTGTTTTCAGGGGTCTGATCTTTTGCGGCACACCGACATGGGTCGAAGCAAGCCCCTTAAAAGGTCCCATTGCATCAAGAACACACTGTTTGAAGTGCTTAGTTTGACATACACAATGTTGATCCCCACCCCATTTAGATGGTTTGATGGGAAGAGCAGCATTGCCCTGTAAAGAGGATCGGTTTAGCAGCTGAGCAATTGGTTGGGGGCAGGGGGTTCATTTCAAGAACGGCCCATGAATCACCGTACCGTCCGCACGCGATGGGTTCACTAGGACAAATGGGGCACGATGGCCAATTGGAGAGCTCCAGAAATTCACACCCACCTTTTCTGAAATAGTTGTTGTTTCATAGGTCCCTGTTTAAAGGAACAGTTTGGCCCAGAGTTTTCAGGGGTCTTGGGAGCTGGCCTTTGCTTGTTCTTCGTTTACCCCGGATTCCCATGGTGGGTGGCTCGTCTTTTGGGAGGCCACCCTTTTCTGTCCAAAAGGAACATCACCAGTTTTTATTTCTCCAACACCCGACATGAAGGGTACAGCCCCATTCCTCAAAAGACATTGGCCACCTGTCCAACGCCCGTCAGGCGCCCACCCCTGTGGCCCGTGTCCACGCTCTTGCGCGCACGCGCCACGGACGGTTTGCACAAGTCAGGTTGTACGGGGTTTGCGACCTGGGTGCCCTCCCACCCACTCGTATGGGTATGACATTTCAATTGGGAACCCTTTGGTGGACATCATCTAGGTGCGGATTTATGTCCACCAATCACTTTTCAGGGTTCCCCATTAAAATTCATAGCTATATGGCACCTGACAGAGGGTCCCTTGAGGCGATTGATCTTCCAGGTACCTCAGGCTATGAGTTGGCCCCTTTTGGTATGGCAATGTAAGACCAAGCACGAGATCCGCAGTGCCGCATGTTGACGCCCAAGCAATGTGGAGCCTGATTCACAAGTTCGGCCAGTCCGCAGGATGATTTCGCGGCGGTGGCTCTGCATCTCTTGCCCTTCCTCACCACCAACGCCAAGGCGTGAGTGCTTCACACATTCCCGGCTTTGGAAGCCAGCTCGCAGCTGTCTCCCTGCAAGGATCGACTGGTTGGAGTTGTTTCTTGACTTATATTGTTATTTTGCAAGGAAGCAAGACACGCGATGCCCGGTCCTGACACATTCCCCATGTGTTGTGCCTTTGTTGGCATTGAAAGCAACTCTCTTGGTTGCCTTCCTGCTTTCCGCGCAGGAGGGTCTGGTAGTATCTGTGGCAGCTGACTGCAGCTCCGACATGAAATCGGCCCTCAGGCCTGGGATGCATGTCTTGATGTGCCATTGACTGCTCCAAAGGCAGGTGTCTGACAGGTGCTAACAGGTTCCAGGAGTCTTTTTTGCGAGCTTGGTGGATGTGTGCTTGTGGGTTCAAACATGTCCGGCAACAGCGTTTTGAGAATGTCTGGTGGCTCTCAGATCACATCAGCGCTCAATTCTCTGAGGGCGGCGTGTCAGCATTCCGCTGTGTCGCGACCCCGGAGGGTTTTTTGTCTGGGAATCAAAGGTGTACCTTCTGACCATGTCCTGTACACAAAGGGACGCTTAAAAGAGAGGTGTCCAAGCACCAACAAGTATAGAAGCATTTTCAGCAAGCAAAGCGTGTCCATCCCAGAGAAGGAACAAACCGGATGGGGACTGATCCAATGGAAAATGATATGGAAACCATCCCCAAAAAGTCCAAGCACTGGCTAGCTTGAGGCCCTGCCACGAGGAGGAGGAGAGTGCCTTCCAGCGGCGTCGTGGGGGAGCCAAAAGGATGGGGGGTGCAAGATTTTCAGGATGACCTTTACTTGGCATGCGGCTTGCCGTTTGTTTTTGGAGCAGGGCACAGTGGCTCGGGCCAGGCATGTTTGGTTGCAGTGGCTGTTAAGTTGAGGCCTATGGCGGTATTTTTGCGCAGGATTTGGTCGATGGTAGAATGATGCCCACTGCCGCCGGTACCCACCAACCCTCAGGATCAGGATATGTGTTCTCCCCCAGTTCCGAAGCAAGGCAATCCAACTTCAACGATCCTAGCTCCACCAAGAAAGCGCCCGAGGCCAAGAGAGCGAGCCATGGAACACCGTGTTCGCGGATGCCAAGCCCAGCGCAGAGGACGCGGCCTTCGCGGTTGTTTTCGCGCACCTCCGGAATCACCCTACGGGCCGAAAAGAGCAAGTGCATCTCGCGGAAGATGTGACATGAAATAGGTATCCCGAACAAATGGCATGCCCTTGGCGCCCGATTTTGCCTCCTTTGGGCAGCCAGGCGGCCCTGTGTGTCCGGGGGATCTGACCTGATTCCGACAGCGACCGAACCGGGCAGGAGCTCCCGATGGTGGACCACTTTGTTCTCAGGCGAGGCTGTCGCAAGGGCACAGAAGTCAGAAGTGGCAAGGATTGCAACCCTGGTTTCTCTTGCAAACTGTCCAAGAAAGACATGTACATATTTTCCGCCTCGAGATGGTTCTTGCGGGGTTCTCAAAGCCTTCAGGGGTCTGATTTTGACCATTCGCCAGGTTGCTGCCTATGGGCCACATCAAGTCGGCGTGCCCGAAGGATGAGGCGCCCCGAAACGAGCTGCCGGCAGTTTTCCGCCTGCATCCAAAAAAAGGGAAAAGGACTCAGCTGGGTTCCCTTTGAATTCCCTGCAAGAAGGGATCCCCCCTATGGAAGGCTTGAAGCCAAGGGTTGAGGCATGCAGGTTTTTCTCATCGTGTTTTCTCCGGCCCAACAAGGTTCAAATTGCTGCGCTGTGGTCGCAAAGCCACCGGGAACCCCGACGAAGACCCGTCAGGACTTCGTGAAGGTCTTCCAGGACTCGCCGAAGTGGCTCCGCTTTGGCTGAAGGAACCAGCGAAGGCTGAATTCAGACTCGCCCGAGTCCCGCTTTAAACTTTCGGACCTGCTGGTTGTGCGACCCAGGTGCAAGCGCTTTCAATGGGACTGCGCCACTTTGGGGTCCGACCCTCACTGTCTCAATGCGATTGGCTGAGATGTGAGCAAGGCAGCCCATGCCACTTTTGTGGGCCCATTCGCCTTTCCACCCCGCTGAAGAAAAGCTCATGTTGGCTACTTAGCGTTTTCTTGCCGAGTCTCGAGTGGAACGGCGCGGGCGCCATGCGGGCGCAAAGTCCAGTGCGCTTTGAGCACTGATGCCAACAGCGGCTCGTGGAAGTGCGCCCATGGAAAAAGGTGCATCTAACCGAAGCTTTGGAGAGCGCATGGCGATGGGTATATCTCAACTGGGAGCTGGCTTCATGTTGGCCTCCCTTGATTGCGGGGAAATCGAGTCCGCAGGCGACGCAGAAAACCGCCGAAGGGGCTGCAAAGAAGCAGAAGCTGGCGCGCCGGAGGGAGAGCTTGGCGTAATGGGAGGTCTGAACTGATTTGCCATGCGGCTGTGGCTGTCAAAAATAGGGTAACCCCCAAATAGGTTGCCGTGGTAAATAGAAACATGGACGGAAACCTGCAGTCTCCCTGGAGGTTTCATTTGACGCATACCCGTGTTTTGCAGAATTCTCTTGGTACAGCAGGTTTTCTCTGACTTTTTCGCGATTTTGTGGGTTGAAGGGGTTTGTTTGAAATTTTAAAAGGGTCAACGCAGCAGCGAACATATGCCTCTGGCGAAATCCATGACGACTGTGGGATGACACCATTTTTGCTTTACGGGGTCAAGACGGCTTCCCCGTTTGTTTAGTGACTCCTTTTCCAACGACTTCCCTTTCGAGTTGCGGAAGTAGTGAAACTACCGAACCGTGTCTTAGACAAGGTCCCCATTTGGCTGTAGGTTTCAACTGAATACATCCTTGAACATGTTTTGATGGATAGAAAGGCCTATGAGCATGACACAAAGAGTCCCAACTCCCCCCAACCACATCCCGAGGAGGGCCCGCAGCTCCCGGCTTTGGAACAAATGGCCGCGGTCTTCGCGTCGGAGGAGTACCGGAAGCTGGTGCAAGAGGCGCATTGGCGTTCTTCGGGAGAATCCAAGTAGTTGGATGCACCCTGTGAGACTGGCGCAGCCGGGGTTTGGTCCGACTCATTTCGGGAAACGGATGCTTTGTTTGAGGTCACCGGCTGCGGAGAGCTCTCTGAGCGAGTAGATCTGGCGACCCAGGCTCGAGGGTGTGGCGCTGTGGCGTGCTCTTGCTCATGCGCTGCACGGCTGCAGGTGTACACAAAGGGCTCTCACCTCTTGTGTCACGACGACGTCATCGGCACACGGAAGGTGCAGGGCAGAGTGAAAGGGTTGAACGCGTTGCCTCGGGTAGATCCAAAAATGTTGGTGAAGCCAACCGTGACTGGTGCTGCTCAATTGGGGTTGGTTGACAGCACCCATCCGTGCGCTGTGGATTCGTGGATTCTTGCCCGCAGCCCAGCTTTGGCAGCACCGCTGCCCGAAACGCTCGCCCCCTGTCGTCCTTCGGCTGGTTTTGCCATGTTGGCCTTTGTGCCCGCGGTCACCGTGCCTCGTCTCGGAAACATAAGCCCACAGATTTATCCAGAGAGAGAGGGAGGGAGGGAGAGTGGAAGGCTTCCAACATCAGCGGAATCCAGCTTGTTTTAGATGGATAGCGACCATCAGGATGATTCGTGTGGAAGGCCGGGATACCGTGACTTCCGCAAAGCTATTGACCATGGGAACTGGTCTCGGGCTGCCATCGATCTTAGAGTCGGAGCCAAGCTTCCATCTCTCCGACTCCAAGGTATCGGCTCCCCACACTCCAGCGGTACCCAGGCAGGGCTCGGAGTGCGTTGTTGGAGTCGGGAAGGCCCATGAAAGATTCATGTTGCCATCTTTTAGGGTTCTGGTTTGCTCAGGTCTTAGAATCAAAAACCGGGTTCTTCAAGCCTTGAAGGCTCGCCTCGACATCACCGGCCTCGGGCTCGGGTGAAGCGCGGTGCTTGGCGCTCGGCGTTCTGGGCCTCCTGGCAGTCTCCAGGCGTTCGCTTTCGTTCTGAGCGAAGAAAAAGGTGGACCCAAAGCGATGATTTTCTGGGTGATTCCCAGCTATCCGGTTCCTTAGCTTTTGAGCTCTTTAATTTAGCTTCTCAGTTTTTTTGTTTTTAGTGGGTTCTTGGTTGGTTTAGTTGTTGGGCTTCCATTCAACCCACAAGTTAAAAGCTTCTAGCAGGGGATCTGAGGACAAGCAACTTGTTTTTGGCGCACGTGCAGGAAAGCCACAGACCCAGGCAATAGGAACAAGTTAGGAACTCAGGCCCTGTTCAAAGGGAAAGTTATGGCTCCAAGTCACTTTGCAAAGGAATTTAGAGAAAACAAGAGGACTTGAGGAATATATTGGGCCGCTACGGCATGATTGGCGAAAGTTTCCATGGTTTTCGGGCAGCCTGAAAAAGGTTGACTTCTGGACTGGCCTTTTGGCGAAAGCGGACTTTCCCATGGTTTTTGTTCTTCCCCAATACATGGGGAGCTTATATAATGCGTGTATTGGGTTGTCTTGACTGGAACATGTTCAAGATGAGTTGCATCAAACAAATCATACGCGTGCGTTTTCATCACGGTCGAACTCTTGCTCTTCCGAAACAGACATTTGCAGGCAGCGCCCTGCGCGGGCGGCGCGGAGACAGCGTGGGTCCAAGGTGGAGGCCGAGAAACGACCGGCAACACTTGGGGGTTGAAACCCCGAAACTCGGCACGGGATGGGATGTCATCCCCATGTGAGTTCATGTGGCAAGTTTTTAGACTATGTACTGAAGTGCTACTGCTGCATGGCGAAAGGCCGCCGAAGGGAACGCGAAAGGATTGGAGATAAAACAAGACGGACAGCGCATGCATTATGTGTTTTTGATGTTCTTGCTGTTGGTGTCAAGATCTTTTTTGCATGTGTTTTTTGGTAGAGTTGCGCCCACGAAATCCGAGTTTCACCGACGAAATCCGCGAAGGAACGCGAAAGGGCAAGTTCCCAAAGTGGGGCCTAGCCCTTCGACCAGCACTAAAGTGACACTTGCAGCAGTTCTTTATCAAGTGACTCAGTTGCTTCTCAAGAAGCAGAGTAGAAAACAATTGCTCGACAACGAGCCTCTTCAAGACTGATTGAGGTCCGCGAAAGGAAGGCGAAAGGCCGGCGAAATGTTTTTTGGCAACCTCCATGTGAGGCACTTGATTCCCCAGTTAAACAGTGTGGTTCAGGGGCTATTTTGACCAACTGCCATTGGTAGGCCACGAAGGAGTTCCTTGCGTTCACTTCGGATGGTTTCAGAGATCGGTGGGTGACGCGTGAGGCATGCCGTGAGAGTTAGTTGCCAGGAGCCCTCCCATGAGGACTACGACACCTTGCTGATGAAAGCTGGCCTCCGAAACCTGCTTGGAGTTGAGGAGCCGCTCGGATGCCGACAAATTGGGTGGAGGAAGCCCCCTGCCGCCCCTGCCGGTCAATCCAAAGACAAAAATCCCGTGGATGCCTTTGCTAGCAGAAGGGAAGATGTCCAAAGTGGTTGGACCAACCCTTGGGCCAGAAGACACCAACCAAACGCCGTCCCAGTCGCCCCAGTCGCCGTCCCAGTCGCCGTCCCAGTCGCCGTCCCAGTCGCCATCCCAGTCGCCGTCCCAGTCGCCGTCCCAGTCGCCGTCCCAGTCGCCGTCCCAGTCGCCGTCCCAGTCGCCGTCCCAGTCGCCGTCCCAGTCGCCGTCCCAGTCGCCGTCCCAGTCGCCGCCCAGTCGCCGTCCCAGTCGCCGTCCCAGTCGCCGTCCCAGTCGCCGTCCGTGCCGAGAGCCTGGCCATGTTTGAACCGAGGAACCGTATGGCGCGGAAGCTGGAGGAAGCTTGCGAGGTGTGGGAGGGAAGCCAAATGGCCATCGATTGGTTGGGAACCACCGGAATGGTGGACAAACGAATCCCCAAGATGATGTCCACCAAAGGGTCCCGAGTTGAAAGTGATGCCCAAGTATGAAGAGCACTCGTAGTTTTTTTTTAACCGTCCAAAGAATGTCTTTTGACACAGCCAGGTCAGCACTGACTTGAAGCGCTGCCTCTCCGACGTGGAGGCGCATACAGCTCTGACGCTGTGCCGGAAGAGGGGCTTGTCGGAACCTCTTGGTCACCAGTCGGAAACTTTGAGAACATTCTTAACAGCGAATCTCAGGTCCTCCAAAAGGCGAATCGCTTCTTCCCAGATGTTTTGGTGCGTTTCAATCAGTTCATTTTGTGGTGTCTTCGGTTTTGACGCCAGGCTTGCAGCGCTTGTCTCTCATTTTCGAGTTGTGATTTGGTGAGTGGCCCAATGTCGTTCCCTCACTTGATGAGATGACTGTGAATAGCTGTTGCTCATGCATCCCAAAGCCTGATAGATCCCGTGCCAGATGCTTGGGCCCCTTTTGACCTCTCAAAAGTCGCGCGGTGTCCGGGAAACGTTGAAGTCAGACTGCAACGAGATCACGCCCATTTTTTTTCAGTCTTGCTTCTAATGGGTGGTCAGCAAGAAAACAGGGTCCGGGCAGGAATCCAAGGCGTGAAACAAGTTGACAGATCAGATGCTACTATGTCAATCACATCAGCAACTCTTGTTCCGGAGGTGAAGCACAAGATTGCCAAGGACGAGGCTCGTCTCGTTGAAGCCACGCGCAAAACCGCGCTTGTCGTGTTTCGTTTGAGGTGGACGAGCTCACCACTCGCCTCGCCGCAGTCCAGGCGGATCGATGATTCGGACCCCGACACCCGAAATTTCAAGTCCTAACTGGAAGGGACCCCAGCCTAGATCTTTGTGGGACTTCAATACTACACCAAGGAACATGTGTCACATCCTGATATCTTGCATCCTTGTCCTTGACTAGAATGATCCAAGGATAATGTTCGAGGCAGACCGTGACACCGGCCGGGGCAACGCTTTTCAGGCGGACAACGACTCTTTGCGCGGCGAGCTGGCGGAGCTCAACGAGAAGGCGAGTAAAACCTCCAACTGCAAACTCAAGTACCACTGTTAGAAGGGCGCCATTTTGCCCCCATTTCCACTGGCAGTGCAAGGCGTTCGGACTTTGGATGCGTGTGAATTCTGAGGCAGAAGGAAACGCGACCGGGGTCACAGGGTGTTTTGGGGTCATGCGGTCATGTTGAGACCTCGGAGGTGAAAGCCTCCAAGGAGGCCAACGAGGCCATCAAGGCGGCCAGATGTGCAAATGAGGTTTGGACCCTTTGAAACCAATCTGAACTCGTTGCCAGTTTGGAGACATCCACTCGTTTTTGTTTTGGCCACATTCCGAAACGGTTGGTGTTCCTTTCTTAGTGAGTGGAGGTCGAGCACTCCCATCTCACCTGCTGAAGCGCTTTCGAAGCTCATCAATATGCCCAGACGTCCCCTCCTTCTCTGGGAACATTCAGTTGTATATGAGCAACGGTCAATTACTCACGGGTCATTTGCTGGTACAAAGGGGGGCAAATTGAGTAAGCTGATGAATACTCTTTGCGTTTACACCTGTCGCTCTTGCAGTGTTTTTGAGAAGCTACGACTTTGCTTTTCCAATTTTGGTACTAGTCACATGGCCTGGTTTCTGGTGTTGCTCGGGGCCACAGCCCACCTACGCGGCGTTTGGAAAAATCGACCGGGAGTCACTTTGGAGAGGCCGCCTCTGGGGAGTGGCTTCCTTTCAGCCAGATGACTGGCAAAGCAGCTGCACCGGGAAATGTGTTGAAAGGGAGGGTCCAAACACAAGGCTCCCGTCTTTGACACACGCCGCATTGACAACTGAAGAAACGCCCTGGTAGTCCATATGAGTTTGCAGAGGGCAGTGAGTTTCCCAATGTGGTGGCCTTTTCTTCCAACCTCCGTTTTCTCTGACCATAAGCCAACAGGAGGTCTCAAATCAGTTCCGCCTTTGTCTTTCTGTTTTTTGTTAAGGGGTGGGGGCAGGGGGGACCCGGTGTTTTCTTTTCTCCTAGGGCTGGTTGTTTTACATGTTTTACGGAGGGGACTTTTTGTGGAGGGGTATTAACCAGGCTCCCGCCTGCTGCCGCCGACCCTCGGCGCATTAAGGGAAAAGTGACAAGGACCGGTCCTGAAACACGTCCGCAAACCCAGGGACCACTTATAAGATTTTCTACGACCACAAACAAGGATTATCGGAAAAGTCAGAAATATGGCAGCTAGTCCGTTAATTGCCGCTTGGGCCGGCTTGCCCCCAAGTCACTTCGAGTTGGCCCGGGAGCAGTCGCCTGTCCCGGGTCGCCCTGAAACTGGCCCTCCCGAAACTGCCCCGGCGACAGTGGCCCTAGT